CAACTATCATAGTCCATTCAAGAGCAGAAGAAAGGGATTAGCAAATCTAGGAAGACAGATAAATTTCGCATCATTAAGAAATGTAGTCATTCATTTCTGGGCCTGCAAGTATCCAATTGGTTTGCTGTCTAAAATTGCACATTACTCTTACTTTACTTTTTTCTTTCCAGCGTCTAAGTAGATACCTTCAAGTAAATACATGAAGCAATGAGCACCAACTGCATAAGATCGGCCAAGGAATATGCCTTAAACGTAAAATAGATATAATGTAATCAATATTTTAAAAAAAAATCGAGATAACAAGATCTCATTAAGGATATCAACAGAAAAATTATCAGAGAGAGGAGATTATTAGCATGGACTGTCAAAAATCGAAACATATTAGTGACTACCGTAGACATCAAGCCTAGACGCTATACACTTGAAACGAATCTCCTGAACTCCAAATCCACCAACTAGCTACAAACTTAGCAAGAGGTAGACAATTAAAAATTAGATTAAATTGATTTTCATAATTTTATCAACCAAAATAACATACCAATCACCGCGTGCACAGGGAACCTTTAATTTCTATCATCCTTCCACCACCCTCGATTATTTGGCACCACCTAATTAGTCAACAAAGAATACACCTTCTGAGTTAATATGACAATGTAAATTTTAAACCTAAAAGAAATGAAGATTTCAAAAAGGAAGCATATAGGAGAAAAAAGGAGGACCCAATACAAGCAATTCACAAAAACTTTGAACGCCTTCCTTCTAATTTCAACTCCTTTATGTCATGTCAATACATTCCACCCGCTCCAACATCAGCACCATTTATACTTATTTGATCTCACTGCAATAGAGTGGCAGAAAAATTGCAAGATTATTTTTATACCCAGGTCAATTCAAGCAAGGAGAGAGAATCAAAAGTAAAAAGAATTTGTTCTTATCTCGACTTCTGCCTCTCTAAAAGTTCAATGAATCTTTCAAAGTGTTTCTTTTTCTTTTACTTTCCAAAAGGGATTGCATTGCAAGTATCTCATTTTGATAAACAAAACAATTTACATTTATGACCAAAAAGAAATCAAGAGTTTAACTTGAACCATTAATAATAAACTCCCAAGAGATTAAGTAGAATTTGGAATGCTTTTTTTCTCATTTAAATCTAGCATATCTAAATGAAAATTTCAGTTTGTTGCAATTTTGGCGTTTGTTATCTCGCTGCAGCATGAGTCCCAGAAAAAATGTAAAGAAAATCAAAGGTTAAATGATAATAGGAAAAACTATCAGCGTCCATTCAAGAAAAGGAAAGGCATGACCAAAACATAGGAATCTGTATAACTCCATGTATCGAGAAATGATCAGCTGAGCAGTTCATCCCTGCACCCACAAGTACCCACTGGATTGCCATGCCATAATATATCTTAAACAAAGGAAATCTTACAATACATCATTCACGTGTTAGCTTAAACCAATTCTGAAATATATTCTCCTATGCACGACTAAGTAAACGCACACCCACTTACACGATCATTTTGCAGACTTCATTCTTCTTTCCAGATACCTAATTTTATTCTCTCTAGTAAATTCAAGAAGCAAAGAGCACCAACGTGCATAAGAGACAAGTTAGTCAGAATGTCTGGAATAGTATCTAAATCTAACCTATGTATTTGAGGTAAAAAGAGACAACCAAGAAGAAGTTAAAGATTTCCGAGAACCACAAACTCACAGTATGATGTCAAATAGTTTGTAGAAAGTGTTCCTTCTTATTTCAACTCCCACAATTTACTTGGAAGCTTCAGTTTTCTCCAATTTTCTTCCACGATGATCTGGTAGCAACATGAGTCACAAAAAAATGCACAGAATGAATATAGATAAATGGTACAAAAACTAAGTATTTAATCAAGTGAAGGGAAGGCATGTTAAATCCAGAATTATCAAATCTAACAAAGCCTAAAGTTTCCACAAGTACTCTACCGGCTTGATATGTATTCACGCATCTTGAACCAAAGCAATGACGATCCATCAGTGTGGAATCATTTTCAGACCTTTTACGGTAAGACATCATTGACGTGTTAGGTTGAACAAGCAGCGCTACCAAGAAGACCAAAAAACATAAGAAGTTCCGCAAAATCAAAGAAACCGAGAACCTCCGAAAAAAGCAAATCAACGCAGATGCGGAAAGAAAGAGGAAAAGGGAAAAGAAAACAAGCAGAGAGAGAGAGAAATATGGTGTTTACCTCCCGGCTTGTGGATCGCGAGAAAGCGTACGCGAGATAGAAACCTCGCGGAGAGTAGTGGGTGGCACTCCTTTGTCATCCTCATGGAGATGGGTGCCACGATCTTGCCGGTAGCCCCCCTCCATCGCTTTGCAAACCTTCCCGTATGTATGTATGTATGTTTTAACCCGCTCACCACGGTCCCTTACTCCTATAAAGACCGGCGGAAGGAATGCTTTGCACATCTTTTTTACGGCTCGTTACCGCAGCGCTATTTGTAGCACCCGGAAAGGAGGAGGAGAAAAAAAAAAAAAAAAAAAAAAAAAAAGGGGTGCCACGTCAGCAGGCCCGGTCAGCAGTCCCGGCCAACCAGGGCCTGCCACGTGGCAAGATCGCGTCACTCCGAAAGGAGCCACGTTGGCGATCCGCGTGGGTGCGATCCGACGGCCCAGATCAATCACGCGATCGGACGGCCCAGATTCAAACGCACGGACGGCCCAGATTCAA